CCTCTAGCAAGCCCAGCAGGCGGTAAGGTTTTCTGGGTAGGCAAGAGAGCTGCATGAGAGTTCATATAAGTTCAGCTGCAAAAGAAAGCAGAAGGAAGGGGGGGGGGGGAGAAATGGAAGGGGGGGGGGGGGGGTTGCAGGGAGGTAGGGGATGTTTTGCGATATAAGACTTATAATTTCGGCGGTTAATATGTATGAAGTTTTAAAAGTCGATTTTGAGGGCGAAGATTGCGTTTTTACCTACCCATCCAGGAGTCCCCTTTCTTGTTGGCGAAATTCTCTACTTTCTTTTGATATTTTAAAATTGAGATTTGACTTGATTGGTGGAGAGTTATGGTTCGTCAAAGTGAACGTTTTAAAATGAAAGTGCAAATTCTTTTGAACGCGCGTAGGTTATAGGCCCAGCAAACCCTACCATCTGGGGTATATCTCCAAAAGTAAAATGGATAGAACCTTCCGGTTTTCAACAAAATTTCCGTCTCGTGAATTTACAGTTGGCTCCCCAGGAGCCAAATTGGGGACAACGTAGATTCTGAATTAAACCGAAAAGTTTGATTTTGGGCTAAATAAATGATCACAGCTTTTAAACTTTGCAAAGAAATGTCGTTGTCATGACTACTAGGCTCAATGCAGCGTGCGAAAGGTAAACTTGACGTGACGCGCGACGCCATACGTGCTGTTGAAAATCTATCACCTCTAGCAAGCCCAGCAGGCGGTAAGGTTTTCTGGGTAGGCAAGAGAGCTGCATGAGAGTTCATATAAGTTCAGCTGCAAAAGAAAGCAGAAGGAAGGGGGGGGGGGGAGAAATGGAAGGGGGGGGGGGGGGGTTGCAGGGAGGTAGGGGATGTTTTGCGATATAAGACTTATAATTTCGGCGGTTAATATGTATGAAGTTTTAAAAGTCGATTTTGAGGGCGAAGATTGCGTTTTTACCTACCCATCCAGGAGTCCCCTTTCTTGTTGGCGAAATTCTCTACTTTCTTTTGATATTTTAAAATTGAGATTTGACTTGATTGGTGGAGAGTTATGGTTCGTCAAAGTGAACGTTTTAAAATGAAAGTGCAAATTCTTTTGAACGCGCGTAGGTTATAGGCCCAGCAAACCCTACCATCTGGGGTATATCTCCAAAAGTAAAATGGATAGAACCTTCCGGTTTTCAACAAAATTTCCGTCTCGTGAATTTACAGTTGGCTCCCCAGGAGCCAAATTGGGGACAACGTAGATTCTGAATTAAACCGAAAAGTTTGATTTTGGGCTAAATAAATGATCACAGCTTTTAAACTTTGCAAAGAAATGTCGTTGTCATGACTACTAGGCTCAATGCAGCGTGCGAAAAGTAAACTTGACGTGACGCGCGACGCCATACGTGCTGTTGAAAATCTATCACCTCTAGCAAGCCCAGCAGGCGGTAAGGTTTTCTGGGATTATTCAAATTAATATTTCTTTTATTCAAATCGTCTAAAATAGCTTTAAAAATATTACATTGATGTCTACCAATCCTTCCCCTCATGTTTGACATACTATCAACAGCAAATGCTTCATACAGCTTGATTTTTACAGGAAGAGAAATGCGGGATTTCTCTGCCCATACCTTGCTGTATTTCTCAAAGGCAACGTAAGCAAGGATGCATCGGTGAGAGATATCAGCCTTACTACAGAGCTTGGATCCAAGGGAAATAGTGTTGCGCCAGGGCTCTCTGTTCTTCACGGGTTCACCCTTGGCGTCTACCTCGTCCTTATCTTATCCTTAAAAAACGTGGCAGATAATCAATGAGCTCAGGGGCAAGAAAAAAAAGAAAAAAAGAAGCAAACTAAGCCTCCCTTTATCATAAACAACGAACGAATCATGAATCGTAGAGTCATAGCCAATGGATTCAACTCTTACTTTGTTTCTATTGCCCCTAAGCTCAATGAAACACTTAGTAGCAGTGAGGCCTCTGGTTTACCAATTCTCCCTATAAAAACATTCTATGATTTCCTTGGAAAGACTAATGAAAAATCGATTATGTTAGAAGACTGTACACCTTATGAGATAACGGAAATAATAAAAGGATTTGAAAATGGAAAAGCAAGTGATATTCCTGTTAGTGTAATCAAAAGATCATCTCACGTAATTACACCGATCCTTAGTCGATACATCAACATCTTAATGTCTAATGGCACGTTCCCCGACGTTCTAAAGACTGGTAGAATAACTCCTGTATTTAAGAAGGGAAACCCTGAAGAGATAGAAAACTACCGCCCAATCTCTACTCTCTCTATATTTGGTAAAATCTTTGAAAAAATCATTTACTCAAGAATATATTCGTTTGCTAGCTCACAGGGTATAATATCTAAAACACAATTTGGCTTCAGGCAGTCACACTCTACTTCACATGCAGTTAATCACTCAGTAAACCTTATAACTGAATCTCTAAAACTTAAGCATCATGTCTTAGGCATATTCATAGACCTTAGCAAAGCTTTTGATACAATAGATCATGGTACATTACTTGTCAAATTACAGGGCTATGGGATACGTGGGGTGGCAAATGATCTTATAAAAAGTTACTTAACAAATAGATCACAATATACTGAAGTTGTTGGTGAGAAATCTGACGCCTTGAAAATACAGTTTGGAGTCCCTCAGGGTTCGATTCTTGGACCTCTCTTATTTCTCCTATATATTAATGATATCGCCAACAGCTCCAGTTTGGGATCATTTGTCACCTTCGCTGATGACACCAATATATTTGTGACTGGGAAATCTAAAAAGGAGGCATATATGCGTGGTAATTCTCTTTTAGCTAGTTTATATTCCTACATGCGAGCAAACAAACTCCATGTCAACTTGTCTTAATGCTGTTTCATTCACTTTAAACCAGCATCGTCCTCCCAGACTGACAATAATTCTGAATATACTCTAACCATTGATAACTTTCCAATAAAACAAGTTGCATCTGCTAAGTTTCTGGGAGTCGTCATCGATGAAAAGCTAACCTGGGAAGAACATATAAAATCACTTAGGCGTTCTCTCAGCCATGCAACATCAACTCTCTGCCGCCTACGCTGCTCCCTCCCAGATTTCTTACACCGCCAGTTGTATTACACTCTATTTGAATCACACCTCTCCTATTGTATCACGGTTTGGGGTGGGGCAGCCAAAACTCGTATAAGTTCTGTATTCAAAGCACAAAAATATTGTCTCAGGGTACTGTTTGGCGACAGGGAGGCATACCTAGATAAATTTAAGACCTGTGCTCGTGCTCGACCGTTTGGCAACCAAAATCTGAACAAAAAATTTTTCTTGAAAGAGCACACGAAACCTTTGTTCAAGGAACACGGAATACTTGCCGTCCAAAACCTGTACACTTACCATTGTTTCCTTGAGCTCTATAAAATCATGAAATTCCGTGCTCCGATTTCCCTCCATGAAAATTTCACCTGCTCAAGTAGGAAACCCACCCTTATACTAAGCCAAGCAGACCCCCCTGACAACTTCAATAGCAGAACGACTCGTATTTGGAACGTAATTGTGCCTAAGCTTGGTATACGTGACTACTGTCTAAGTGTGGCCTGCCTGAAGTCTAGGATGAAGCAATCACTGCTCGTCAACCAGCATAACCATGCTGATCTTGATTGGACAAACAAAGATTTCGAATGCTCTAATCTAAATTTTGACATTAAGTCTACCCTAGGGTCCACACATCCAAAATGATTATCTTGAAATTGAAAATTAGCTGGGTGTGCATTTTCCTTTGTCTTACTAACGTGTGTGAGCGCAGTGTAGTGAGAAAGTGTTTTTAACAGATTTATTATTAGACTTAGGATTATGATTTTTAATATATTACATTGATATAAGATTTATTTTTGATAGGTACTTAATAAAGTTGATGAATTTCCCTCCCTATTAAAATTTTAAACCCATTTAGTGAAAATTGATAAACGAAGATCTAGATATTGATACATATTATAACCAACATTGCTTATATTCTGCCTTGTAAACAAAGAGCAAATCTTCTTAATGCCTTCTTCCTGTCCTAAAACTAAAACTTCATCCTATTAAAGGGTCACAACGATACACCTAGAATGCCATAAGCTTTTAACCAGTTGTTTGGTTCGTTAAATGGTATCATTTAGTGAAATTCCGAACATTCTAGCTCACTCACACTCCAAGTTAGGGGCTGATCTAATTACGGCCTAGTGGTTAGCTTGTGACGTAGATATTTCCATAGCAGTAAGAATGATGCGTGTGAATTGGTATTTGTTATTTGGACAGTCCTTGTTCACGTTTTGTTTTTGTTACACGATGTGTCCGATGTGTACAACTGATACACCCGAATGTACTTACTTCTTGAGTAAGAATTATAATAGTTTATATTGAATATATAAGGCAATTAATTAACAATTAGTGTAACAGTAAATATAAGATAATGGGGAAAGATACTATTGTTTTATATTTATATAGACAGTTCATGACATGTGGAAATTCGATATTTTTTGCAGATCTCATCGGATTGTTAACTCTTAAAAGGCCTTAGTTTCTGCGTTTATATTGACATAGGAAATAATATTTAAATTGACGTATGGAAATAAATCTATATAACAAAATCCATCAACTTAAATCCTCATAAGAAATTCCGACGCTACAAATGCTTTGTATTTTCCGTCGTCTGACGGGTATAGAGATCTAATCTTCATAATAGCACATGCTGGAAGGACATATCTCCGATTTTTCCCGATGAACCGTAGTTCGCACATGTTCAAAAAGTTTCTGTAGGCTGCATAACGGAGTCCTTCCGGTTTTATGTTCTCTTCTTTGTCGACGGGAATACTTTTCTGCATCATACCGAAAGAGCACATTTGTAGCATCTTTCGGTTACTGATTCCAGCTGAGAAAAGTTCGCAATCTGTAACACATGAAACTTTTTCAATAGGCTTTGGGCAATAAGTTGGCACTTTGTGGTGATGCACAGTATGACTCCCCAGGATTTACAGCCAAGTACTGCACCTATTCAATCATGCATTGTACAACAAACGAAATTGTAGATTTTTGTGTCATCCAAAGAGGTCAATTTACAGGTGAACTTGAAAAGCAGGCTTGTCAGCTGCTGCTCGATATTCTAGTCAACGAGATCAAGTTGGATATTGGTGATTTTGTGACAGACAGACATAAGGGTATTGGAGCTATGATGAAGAACGTGTTCCCCGCAATATTTCACGCATATGATGTATGGCACATGGGAAAGAACCTCCTCAAAAAGCTGACAGCATGTGCAAAGAAACACCCTAAAGTTGGATTGTGGACCCGCTCAATAATTCGACACTTTTGGTGGTGTTGTCAGAATTGTAAAGGTAATGCCGATCTCCTCTTAGAAATGTATCATTCCTCGTTGTTCCATCTTCTTAACATACATAATTGGGGAAGAAGAACAGTGATTCACAAGCAGCTCAGCCTAATGCGTGTTGGTTCACGACCCTATCCTTCTAAACCAAAAACGGTGAAGCAATGCTTCCACCCTCAACTATTGGTAAGAGAAGACAGGGCAACTCAGTGGTTCAGTATTGGGGATGATGATTTCAAAGCGGTATTCAAAGTGATAACTGCTACCGGGTTCAGTAATGACTGCAAAAAATGCTGTAAGTTTGTGCATACTGGAAAGTTGGAAAGCTTTCACAGCATGAAACTTTATATGTACCTTCCGAAATCAACAGGATTCGGCATGACGACCACAATAATCCTCACAATGCTGACAGCAATTCAGAACAATTGTTACCTCGACCCTAATAACAAGCTGAAAATGTATTCTGTCCGCCAGTGGTCACGGGCAAATCAGCAGCACTTTCTTAAAGAAAGGAGCATTTTCGACAATGTCTCATTTAAGAAGAGAATCCTTGAAGAAACATTTGAAATTATCAAGAATAACAGCATCATTAAACTAGACGTATCATCATATATTAGAGCTCCAATTCCTAAAACGTTTCATTGTCAAACTGCACCATCAAAAGAAGTACTACTTACTAAGAAAAATTCCCGCATGTCATGAACTGTCTATATAAATATAAATAAAACAATAGTATCTTTCCCCATTATCTTATACTTACTGTTACACTAACTGTTAATTAATTGCCTTATATATTCAATATAAACTATTATAATTCTTACTCAAGAAGTAAGTACATTCGGGTGTATCAGTACACATCGGACACATCGTGTAACAAAAACAAAACGTGAACAAGGACTGTCCAAATAACAAATACCAATTCACACGCATCATTCTTACTGCTATGGAAATATCTACGTCACAAGCTAACCCCTAGGCCGTAATTAGATCAGCCCCTAACTTGGAGTGTGAGTGAGCTAGAATATTCGGAATTTCACTCATTTTATAGTAACATGGTGATCTTCGTATGTGGCGGTAACAATTGGTAATTAATGGAAATGAAATCTCTGTCGTTGTGACCCTTTAAAGTAAAGGCCAGTTGTTACCACAAGCTATTATACCGTCCCTCTCAAAAACATGCCTCAGCCTCCATCAAAAACAATTTTAGTTTTCAGTCCTCCTAGTTTCCAAAAATCTACCGAGCTAGTGTTCTGGTGTGCACAAAAGCCCCTAAGCCCGTGCATTCCTTGCCCCGCTAGCTGCCAGTCCTTGACAAACTTCCAATAGCAAAGATCAACTAGTCATTTACAAATTGAGCACTATACAATTTTAATTGTTTTAAATATTTGACTTTGTAAAATGAGCTAAAACATTGATTTATTAGTTTCATTGATTTATTAGTTTCATTATCTGCAATGTAGAAGTGGACATGTTCTGTTTTATCCTCGTTCACAAACAGGTTCCATTCTTCAAGGATCTCCTTACATTATATGGGCAGCATTTCGTTAAGAGTTTCCTCATGCTCGTCTGCAAAATCGCCATCGTCGGCGTATTCCCATTCCCATGGGTACTGCTCGTGTAAATTTGAATCATTCCATTTAACGCAGCATTGTGTCCCTGTGCCCTGGCACGAATCGTAATACTTCTGTTTGTGTTTGAGACTCAGCTTTTATTATAGATTCTGGTGATACCCAAAATCTATAATTGATCATTTGTATTGATCTTTATACAAGTACATGGGTAATAATTTGAGCAAAAGGAAAAGTACTCTGATTATAATTCCATCAACCGAAATCCCAGATAACATGATACAATAATTGATAATTGGTCATGATATCTTATATCTGTTGTAGTTTTAAGACCTTAAATCGATATTGTTTACATTATGCAGTACACTTAAATGTGTGTGTGTGTGTGTATGTGTACTGGAGGGATCATTACGAGATTTGAGACATTTGGGCCGGTTGCGGAACGTTGCCAGCTGGCGCCCCCCTGTTGGCACTCCTTCCCCATTTTGGTGCGCCTCCCTAAAATTGAACAAAGTAGGTGATTTTAGAGGTGCACTGGTAAAATGTCTAAAAAAAGTGTGCTTCTAGACCCACATTTTGGGGCCCTCCTAAGATGGCGCCCCCCTCCTAAGATGCCCCCCCCCACCCCCCGCACAGCAAGGTCAGCGGGGCCCTTCATTACGCCACTGATTTGGGCAGGATCCTTCTCATTTATCTCGTAATCAAGGTTTCCCTATCATAGACTAAGTTGCCCACGAGTGCTTACATGGACGGACATCACCACTGCAATTTAGGAATGTCTATATTTACAGTATAGAGGTTACTTTGTATTCCATCTGCTGTTAAATTTAATTTAAATGCCATCATTATAATCTTGTACAGTTACATGAAGTTGTACAGTTTAATGAAGTTGATCAGCACTTGAAGATGAACTCCCTGCTTATTACGAGGTATAAATACTGAAAAATTTCAAATTTCTTTGTTTTACTGTTACCAAAATGTAATTAGATCGAATGTAGAAAGTAGATCGAACCGGTTCGATCTAGGAATTAGATCGAACGCCGGCGCGGCTTTCAATGTATTTGTATATGTATTTCGCGCTGGCGTTCGATCTAATTCCTAGATCGAACCGGTTCGATCTACGTGCACAGAGCTTGGTCTACATATAATTCCTAGATCGAACCGGTTCGATCTAATTTCGGCGTTCGATCTAACGCACAGCAAGGTCAGCGGGGCCCTTCATTACGCCACTGATTTGGGCAGGATCCTTCTCATTTATCTCGTAATCAAGGTTTCCCTATCATAGACTAAGTTGCCCACGAGTGCTTACATGGACGGACATCACCACTGCAATTTAGGAATGTCTATATTTACAGTATAGAGGTTACTTTGTATTCCATCTGCTGTTAAATTTAATTTAAATGCCATCATTATAATCTTGTACAGTTACATGAAGTTGTACAGTTTAATGAAGTTGATCAGCACTTGAAGATGAACTCCCTGCTTATTACGAGGTATAAATACTGAAAAATTTCAAATTTCTTTGTTTTACTGTTACCAAAATGTAATTAGATCGAATGTAGAAAGTAGATCGAACCGGTTCGATCTAGGAATTAGATCGAACGCCGGCGCGGCTTTCAATGTATTTGTATATGTATTTCGCGCTGGCGTTCGATCTAATTCCTAGATCGAACCGGTTCGATCTACGTGCACAGAGCTTGGTCTACATATAATTCCTAGATCGAACCGGTTCGATCTAATTTCGGCGTTCGATCTAATTACATCCTGGTTACAGTTAAGACCCTGATTGTTTGCTCACCACACTGCTGTTAATTGTAGTTCTTCTCATTACCAGCAAATTTTGAAGAATTATCCCCAGATTTTATATATTTCAGGTATTTGAAAAGATTTCCTGCAGCATGTCAATACTCTACTTTCAACCGAGGGATCGAATTGAATCCTAATAGAACCCATTTAGCCATAAACGATAGATGTCAACTGAGACATTCTTCGCATGGTGTCATTCCACCTCTGCCTGCATTTGTATTGGGTAACAACAGTATTTGAAAATGAAAATTTTACCATTTCATTCTATAATCAAACTGTGTAGTTAGCCAAATCCAAAATATGATAAAGTTTAAAGAAAGATTCCATTGAACTTATTCACTTGTGAACCCAACTGTTTGAACTTTCAGGTGCAAGTGGCCTGATCCCTTTCTATGCTCCACCACTTTACATGATGTACAATGATTGGTTATTTTGTACTGATGGAGAGTTCATGCATCTTGTTTACTCAGCTTCTATTCTATCATTCCTAGGTTTGTTAGATATAAATTCTATTAAAGACAAATCTCTATTTAATTTTACTGTATTTTCGGTTCTCAGCCGACCTTCAATATTATGAAAGCAGTAATAAACCCATTTTGTAGGTGGTGTGAGATGGGGTTTGACTCTCTCAGCAGGATCTAAGGAACTTCCAGACTGGAGAAATCTGACTTACAGTGTTACTCCATCTTTGTTAGCTTGGACTGGAGTACTTTTGCACTCTCCTCTTGGGTACATGTGACCAAATCTAATAAAATCAAATAAAACATAATGATAGATAAGATCATCATTACTCTTCAGTGCTTGGCATCCAAAGTGATTTTAAATATGGCTTTAATTACTTGTTAATTGACTATTTTTGTTAATTTTATATATTGTACCATGCTTATTATATTATATGTAATTTTGCTTATGCAATTTACACTTTTTTCTTTGTGGTATATTTTATCATTACCACAATTTTCTAATTAAGATGGTATGAAAATTTTTTTTTTCTTTGTAGTATATTTTATCAATATAATCCACATCCACCAGGTATATTCCGATAACAGCTGGCCTGCTAGGAGCAGGTATCATCGATGTGGCTTGGGCAGGTTACCCTACTTGGTTCAAGATTCTCCGCACAATTCTCACTATTAGTGCTCTCACAAGCATAGGCTTGTTGTTTCATGTGAAATATAAAAGTGACAAAAATTTAGGTGTGAACAAATCCATACAAGGATTTAAAGACAAATATTATGACTGGAAAAACGGCAGTGGTCCTTCGAGTTGATGAAAATAGAAACTGATCTGTGAAAATTGTTTGTTCATATTTATAATAAATAAAATATAGTACGAATTTACGTCACCTTAAAACCTCCATATTTTGTCGCTAAAATTCAATATTAGAAAAGCTATATTTTTATTTAATGTACAGTTCACTGATTTGCTATAACAGTTTATAATTTGTGATAGAAGTAGATGTTTTATTGTGATAACATATTTCAACTTAAACATTTGTATTGGAAGCGAAAGGTATCAAGTATCATAATTCACAAATCTCAGCAGTTCCATTTTAAGTAATAAATGACCTGTTAAATTCTTAGCCCATTCCATGACAAGCTCGGTAAAACCCCCCTACAAATATAATCTATACAGAGGTCTCCCTGTGCCTGATTTTATAACAGCTGAAAGATATGAAGAACTAGATACTCTTCACAAAACACGTGATGATGATGTTTTTATTGCTACTTATCAAAAAAGTGGTACAACATGGCTTCAACACATTCTAAACGAACTATATGATCATCCTCAGGTGGGAAAATTGTATACATTTTATTGAAATAAATACCATCCCTTATAGATTTATTATACAGAATGTTTCTAAGAACTAGTGTAAGAAATCAAACACCGGATCATAAACTTGGGAGCTAGACCCTAGAAGATTTTAAATAAATAAGAATCAGAATATATACAGGGTGGCCCATAAAAGAATAGAATTGGTAAAACATAAATAAATCGGTGGTTTTTTAATTTTTTTACCCAGGATTTTTTTTGTGGTTTCTATAATTAACCAATGTAAACAGTTCTGGGTGAGAAATTAAAGCTGGCACACTCAGGAGCTAACTTTGTCAGACAAGCTCAGACTCACACAAAACTTAGCACGAAGTTGTGTCTAATTATGATTGACATTCTCTAAAAATTTGAAGCAAAAATATTAATCACGTAAGTTATGGCGCTTTTCCATTCTGAAATAAAATAATTAGCAAGATCTCAGCGATCTGTTACAATTTTAAGAGATAAGGATGGGTAGTCTTTTATGGGCCACCCTGTATAATGTCATAATATATAAATACATAACAACTAGTTCATTTGTTTTTATCATTGTTGCTTAATGCTCATATTCCTAGGGTGTCAAAGAGAAAATAAACGAGGCAGTTCCCTGGATACAAGAAGAATCACAGGAAAAGATAGATGCAATGCTTTCTCCCAGAGTTTTTAAAACACATGATAGATGGGATTGGATACTAAAGGGGGATAAAATAAAATACATCTATTGCTACAGAAATCCCAAGGATGTATGTTGTTCGTACTATAATCACATGAAAAGAGTTTTTGTTGGACATTATGGATATACTGGTACCATCTCAGAGTTTTTCTCAGACGTGTTCATCAAACGAAATGCTTCAGAGCAAGGATGGTACTTCAATCACGTTGCAGGGTGGCTCGAACAGAAGGAGAACCCCAACATACTCTTTCTAACTTACGAAGATATGGTGGAGGATCTTAAGAGGGAAGTGTCAAAGATTGTTGAGTTTTTAGGTCTCCAATGTTCTGATGAAAAGATTGATAATGTAGTAAGTAGCAGCATGTTTGATTCCATGTCCAAGAATCCTACAGTGAACTATTCTTGGAGGGATGGGGATAAGAAGGACCCTAATTCCAAGTTCATTAGAAAAGGCAAAGTTGGAAGTTGGCAGGATGAGTTGACAGATGACCAGTCTCAACAGATTGATCAACTAACCAAAGAGTTGTTGGAGATCCCGTTTGGTATAAAGATTAGGGACATTTTGTAGATTATCAGTTATTAATTCAGATCCAGGGTATTATAATCATTTCTTATTTCTTGGTTTTGTTTTTTTAACGCTGTCATGGCAAATTATAATGCTGTAATTTTTATTTTTTTATTCTTTTAAATATGGGAACTAGTACTATGTATTATGTTGATGATTTGTGTTAATGTACTTTAATGGATTAATATGTGGCTCATTGATACATTACATTTGTTTCCTATGATTAAAATAAATTCTGTTCAAAGTTTTAAACTTAAATCATAAGTTAAAATCTTTCTATAAGTTTAATTGGCCCTCATTACTGCAATATATTTTCCACAATGCCTCTAAAATGTTCAGTAATAGGTCTTCTCCAGACCATCAGAAATCAAACGTGCCAATATTTCTATTGGCTCAGTGCCAATATTTCTATTGATAATGCTCAGTTACGTATAACATCTCAGCTCATTCCATGACAAGCTCGGTAAGCCCACCTTACAAATGCAATATATACAAAGGTCTCCCTGTGCCTAATTTTATAACAGCTGAAAGATATGAAGAACTAGATACTCTTCACAAAACACGTGATGATGATGTTTTTATTGCTACTTATCAAAAAAGTGGTACAACATGGCTTCAACACATTCTAAACGAACTATATGATCATCCTCAGGTGGGTTTAAAGTTTATTTGAGTGACATGATAAAAATAATCATTCCTTTATATGCTAATTTTTTCATCGACTTTTCTCTTCTATGTAATAATTGAGAATCAGAGCCCTTACTGTTTCAAATTCACGCACAATGCATTTAAAGACTACGTAACTTGTTTATCATTTTTGTCATATTCTTAGGGTGAAAAAGATAATATAAACGAGGCAGTTCCCTGGATACAAGAAGCATCGCAGAAAAAGATTGATGCAATGCTTTCTCCCAGAGTTTTCAAAACACACGATATAGATAGATGGGATTGGATACTAAAGGGGGATAAAATAAAATACATCTATTGCTACAGAAATCCCAAGGATGTATGTTGTTCATTTTACAATCATATGAAAAGAGTTTTTGTTGGACACTATGAATATACTGGGACCTTCTCCGAGTATTTCGCTGATGTGTTCATCAAACGAAATGCTGCTGAGCAAGGATGGTATTTTGATCATCTAGCTGGTTGGTTTAAGCAAAAGGGGAACCCCAATATACTGTTTTTAACTTACGAAGATATGGTGGAGGATCTAAGGAGGGAAGTATTGAAGATTGTTGAGTTTTTAGGTCTCCAATGTTCTGATGAAAAGATTGATAATGTAGTAAGTAGCGGCATGTTTGATTCCATGTCCAAGAATCCTACAGTGAACTATTCTTGGAGGGATGGTATTGCAAAGGATCCTAATTCCAAGTTCATCAGAAAAGGCAAAGTTGGTACTTGGCAAGATGAGTTGACCAAGGAACAATCTGAACAGATTGATCAACTTACCAAAGATTTGTTGGAAATCCCGTTTGGTATCAGGATCAGAGACACTCTGTGAGTTATTGGTTAGAATTAACATTCAGAATTCAGATAATTTAATTAAGGGAATTTATTTAAGAGTATTTTTATTTTGACAAACTTTTAATAATAGGATTTTTTTAATATTGTTATTAATTTGGACCCTTTTTATGACCAGAATCAATTATTTTCAGATTTTAAACTGTAATTATAGTTTATTAGTTATATTACCTGAACGAAACATTATAAAAACCCGCACTAGCTACTATGATACACTGTTAGGTGTCCCACTCCTTTAAAAAATTGGCATAGATACTTATTAAATATACCTATAAAATTAATTCTTAACGAATTTTGCATCTAATTCATTGTACAGTATCGTTTGTTTTCTCTCTCATTTTACTTAAATATTAATCATTTTATTTCATCCAGAATGTCAATGGTCGCGGCTGCTGCTTCCGATATACCAGCAAAGAAAAGACTTCACCCTTCAAACAATCATCAGAAAGCATCACCCAACAAACAATTTGGAAAAAGAAGGAAGCGAAACATACAACTACCCATCACATCATGTGAGGGTAGGATTGTCAGTGAGCTGAAAACAAACGATGTTCTCATCATAGTTGGAGAAACAGCCAGTGGTAAAACAACTCAAATTCCCCAGTTCATCCACAATGCTGGGTTACTTGCAGAGGGAAAATGTGTTGCAGTTACTCAACCTCGTCGTGTTGCCACAATCTCACTGGGACGGCGTGTGGCCAACGAAATGGGCTCCAAAGTAGGACAAACAGTCGGATACTGTGTCAGATTCGAAGATAAGACTTCTAAACAGACTAAAATAAAGTTTTTAACAGACGGAATGCTGCTAAGAGAAGCTATTTCTAAGAAGAACTTAAAAAAGTACGGTGTTATTATTTTAGATGAGGCTCACGAGCGTACTGTGAATACTGATGTTTTGTTTGGGCTCCTCAAAAAGATCCAAACTCAGCGAGTAAAAACCCCCTTAAAACTTATAATAATGTCAGCCACACTCGATGCTGATCATTTTTCAAAGTTCTTTAACACTGCAAAAGTTTTATACATCCAAGGACGACAATACCCAATAAAAACTCTTTACTCGAAAGTCACACAGAAAGATTACGCCCACGCCAGTTTGGTAACAGCACTTCAAATCCACCAGGAGATGCCACCTGAGGGTGACATTCTTGTGTTCCTCACAGGACAAGAGGAGATAGAACACGGGCACAAGCTTCTCACTGAGTGTAACGCCAGTCTGCCTGCTCTGGTTCCTAAGATATCTGTTTTTTGTTTGTTTGGCGCGCTTCCCACTGCTCAGCAAGTGGGGGTGTTTGCTAAAGCTCCTCCTGGACACCGCAAGATAATTCTCTCCACAAACATTGCAGAGACATCGCTAACCATCAGAGGATTGAAATATGTCGTGGATAGCTGCAGGGTGAAACAGAAAGCTTTCAACCCTAAAATTGGCATGGAGGCGCTGCAAGTTAAGCCAGTTTCCAAAGCACAAGCACGCCAGAGGCAAGGAAGAAGTGGTCGAGAAGGGCCTGGTGTGTGTTACAGAATGGTAACAGAAGCTGAATATGACTCTCTTGCTGAGGTTGAAACTCCAGAAATCCAAAGATGCAAGTTGTCCACCGTAATCTTAAATCTTGTTAATCTTGGTATTAACAATGTGTTTGATTTTGAATGGATAGACAAACCACCCGAACAAACAATATCAACTGCTGTAGGAGACCTCAAAACTCTAGAAGCACTGACTGGCTCAAGACATTTGGAGCTCACCCCTCTTGGTAAATCCATGGCATCATTTCCGCTCTCGCCTCATTACTCCAAGATGATCATCAAGTCACGTGATCTCTCCTGTTCAGCTGAGATGATAACTCTAGTCTCCTTACTATCAGTCGACTCCATTTTCTACAACCCCAAAAACAAAACCGACATCACCACAGCTGTCCGCCAGAAGTTCTATAACAGGTCCAGTGATCACATCACACTGTTACGTGTCTACAAAGCGGCGGAGGAGAACAACTTCAACCCTGACTGGTGCCAGCGCCATTATCTCAACATCCGGGCGCTACAAACAGCAGCTAACGTCCGGAAACAGCTCAAACAAATCTGCAAAAAGATCGGGGTACCCTTGATTACAAGCAAGAAGTGGGAGGAAAACATTTGTTCAGCCCTCCTTTACGGTTTGTTAGAGAACGTGGCAGTGCGCCAACCTGACTCTTCCTACGTGAGTCTATCAAACAGACAACAAGCTAAACTCCACCCCTCCTCAGTGCTGTGCTTGTTAGCGCAGGAAGCTGCTCCGGAGATGGTGGTGTTTGATGAGATGGTGCTGACGAGTGCTAATTATCTGAGGACGTGCAGTGTGGTGGAGAAGAGCTGGTATCAGAGGTTGGTTAGTTTGAGTGGACAGGATGTTGTGAGTGGACAGGATGTAGTGTCTTGAGGAGGTGGTGGTGGTATATGTCATGCTATTTGGTTTGTCTTTAAGGTGGTGGTGGTGGCACCATCTTATATAATATTCATTTAGAACGGACAACTTGCTGGATGTCATGCCATACTTGGATAAAAATATGCATATTTGTAAGCTGTTCAATATTGAAATTATGCAAATTGATTGTATCAGTGTGAACTTTGTTCAACTCAATTAAAAAACATTTTATTACTGAGATCATAAGGAGTAAGATGCTTACAGTTTTGTGGTGTACACATATACTTATAACTTCTCAGATGCCTCTCTTATATAATATTCTTTTAAACCTCATCTCAAAGTCTAAACAGGATCAAAATAACCAGTAAAGTAGCATGCTAATCGAATATATATAATTCAAATATTATTCGCATAATATATTCAAATTATGTGCTGTCTAAACTAACTTATTACATTTAATTGAGATTAGTTATGTACGTTTTCGTTCTTTTTTAGGGATTTAGATTGGAATACTTTTTGTAATAAAATCAACGTGACCTTAGCTTAGGCGTATTTTAATGATAACCTGGTTTTATTGTTTTCCGATCAGCTATAAATTTGAATTAACCATACTATACATATCATGACACCCGAAACGGATTCTACTTTTAACATGGCAAACTGAAAACAATGAGCTTCTTTTATTTACAAAAGAGCTCGAAACTTAGAGGCCATTATGTGACATCTAATCTTCCAGTGTAAGAACACTTGTTGTGTTGAATACGTTAAACAACTTGAGTCTTGATGTAAAGTGTGTAAGATAATTATCATAATATAATACATAATATAATATATAAATATAAACAGTTCTTTCTCCCTACAGAAAGATATGGTAAACTCACCTGATGGAGCAGATACACCACTAAATCACGGCTATAACCTTAGAAGCCGTGTTAAACACGATTCAGCCACGGTAATTATTTAATTTTGTAATTACTTAATTACTGTGGAATGTAGAGATCAAAGATTTGTTCTAATGGATTTTCCGACAACATCGCATCTTGTTTTGAAAATATTTTCTATGGTTGTTCTAAAGTCAAGCTTTCATTCAGCCGTCTCATTGCTTCCTCTTCCTCGATATCATCAAAGTTATAAATATTCCCACCATTCACAGTCAGCAGATTTCTACTAGTTGTTTAACTATTTGTGCTGGATCCAAATACCTCATTTCATTCCAAAGTCCCGACATTTAGAATGAAACATGTGAATACTGAATAACGAATTTTAGCTTGATCCATCAAATTTCTCGAAAGCTCTAACATGAATGTTATTTAGGTTATAACTTTTCAGGAGACCCCTTCAAAACCCCCCGCTGAAAACGCAGAAAAAGAAGAGGAAATGTCCGGGAAAAATCCAGGTTTCTTCGGACTTGGATCAGATCTCTTCAGCGTGTGTATCCTTATGTTCCTCTACGTATTACAAGGTAGTGATTACTACCAATTATTTATCCTTATTTGGAGTATTGTTAATTCCGCATTGTAAATTTTAAAGCCTCATCGATTTTGTTACCATGATAACAGATAACTTTGTTCAGGAGTGCCGTTAGGATTGTCCAGCAGTATACCAATACTGATAGCACAGAAGATATCAGGATACAGTCAACAGGCTGCGTTCAGTATAGTCTCTTATCCCTTCAGGTACTTTACCATCAACTACATTAACTACTTAATGTGGTGAAGGAGACATGTTTTTATAGTTATCAGAATAGTTTAAGCTTTTATAATAATATAATAATTATGGTTGTCAATCTAATATGCCTTAACCAACTATCGTCTTTTTTGTCAAATTACAAAATGTCATGACGCAGATAAAACTCCCTCCCCCTCAGTTGTAAGCTGTTATGGGCGCCTCTGGTAGACTGTATATACAGTAGTAAACTAGGGAGAAGGAAGTCCTGGCTAGTCCCACTACAGTACTGTATTGGTGGTGTTATGCTTTACATTCCTACTGTTATTGGAGATGCACTCGGTCACAATGGAGGTCAGGTTCATATCTTGATAGAGACTTTTAACTAGAAGCGAAACAAATTCTCCTTTGGAGCTAGGGTGTGGACTAGCTACACTTTGTTTAATCTATTACATTTATTGGGTTGCTAATTTAGTGTTTCAGGTGAGATTAATGTTGGTGTTTTAGCTGGGTGGTTCTGTTTCCTCACATTCCTTGCCGCTACTCAGGATATAGCTGTTGACGGGTAATATACATAATAATGTCTTAATTATCAAGCAAAACATTTGAAAATTACTGTATGAGAAACTGTTATTTTGTTATTGTCTTTTTATCTTAGATGGATAATTAGATGGTTAATTAGATAATTTATCAGCATGAAAATAACCCTCTATCTCCCCAGATGGGCGCTAACAATGTTATCTACTCGTAACATTGGCTGGGCCAGCACCTGTAACACAGTGGGACAAACTGTGGGCTACTTCTTTGGTTACCTGGGCTTCCTGGCGCTGGAGAGCCCTATGTTCTGTAATCTGTTCAGAAGTGTTGAGTTAGATGTGGGCTGTATTACTATGGAGGTAAGATGTTACCATGTTGATAAAGTGTTACTATGGAGGTAAGATGTTATCATGTTGATAAAGTGTTACTATAGAGATAAGATGTTGTTACCATGCAATGTACAGTGTACACGTTGTATTATTTTTGGGGACCGCATTCCCGGATTCTATATTATAATCCTCTAATTTTGTATAATGATCCACTAATTATATTAATCCCTATACAATATTACTTTATCATGTTATTTCAGACGTATCTGAGGTTTTGGGGTGTAGTGTTCATTTTAACCTACCACATTTGTCGCTATATTCGTGACAGAAAAGGCTGTGGACGATAGTGAACAAGATGAAGGGTTAGTTAATAAATTGGTTAATTATTTATTTAATTATTATTTTAAAATTCTAACCCACTCAATATTAGACGGAATTCATTTCCGGGAAAAAAACATACTTTAAATAGCGGAAGAAGATTTACACATGTATTTTTAACTGTGCTTTAACCGTGCCTTAACCGTGCGTAGCTACATTACCGAATTGCCTTTGAAAGCTCCTGCTAAAAACAACTTTTCGTATCACTTAAATGGCTAGCAAGAACTACTGTCTTGAACACACTAAACCGCTATTCACTGAGCAGAAAATTATGAACCTGGAGAATCTGCACATGTACCATACATTTATGGAACTATTCAAAATTCTTAAATTTGATGTCCCCCAGTCGATTAAAGATCTTTTCAAGTTCTGTCCTAGAAATGAAAAACTTCGTCTGATTGTCCCATTACTGAGGTTAGATATCTCCCAACAGAACTTTTTGTACACCTCTACGAAAATTTGGAATGACCTCAGCCCCTATGTATTCGAAATTTGTGATGCTAATGAAGATGGGATAATAATCCCGGGTTCTTCCAAGAATTCAGACTTGTCAGCCTCGTCAGGTATTATTAAATCTAACCTTAAAAAGCACTTGCTATCCCTCCAAAATCGAGATGACCCTAATACATGGTAACTACTTTATATTATATCTCAAATTCTAAATCCGGTACGGCTCTGCACACATGATATCTCTCTCTGCCATGAAACATGACTAACCTTTTAAACTATAATTTAAAACCTAAACCTAAACTAAAACTCAACTGGGCTCTCCTATGTCACCAAACTAAACCAATAAGTAATTTTATATTATTATATTTTTCTATATTTGTATAACAAGTATATTGACGTAGTGGATGGTTGAGGGGGTTTCAAGCACAGGTCACTGATTGATTGGGAATCGAGCGGTTTACTCGATTAATGTTTACTCAAAATTATAATACAAACAGTAATAGATATAAAATAGAAGAAAATTAAAGAATTCTTTTTAAAAACAAACCCTCTGGAAAGGGCACTGCACACTGTTATCAAAAAGTACACTGTGATCATGAAGTACTATGAACTACAGATTTAAAAAACACGACGCTTCACGCTACACATGATATTACACATCCATAATATCGATCCTATAGGTTAAGAAGTTTAGACTTGCACTGAACAGCTTGGACTATTGTTTTTAAAATTTTGTGCAAAATTTTACCATCAGTGATTAATGATGTTATAAGTTTAAATTTCACGTCTAGACTGTCTTAGGCCAGGAACATTGTGCAGTAGGAATGGTTGCCACTCGTTAACATCACCATCACTTTGAAGATTAAGTAGCATTTTCTTGGCACTAGTCTTGAACAGATTTATCGAAAATAATGTCGGAAGTGTAGTAACGTCTGCTTTGTCTGCGAAGACAGAGAGCAGTGGTCCCTTGTAGTAAATACTGTTTTGAAAGTGTCTTTTCCCGTATAACTGGAGCCAGGAGCAGGCTGACGTGTGATCAGAAAGTTTTGTGGGTATGTCGGCGGGAAAAGCTTGAGAGATGTTTTTGGGGACTAATTGTGGCATGTTTTTAACTTTATGCATCAAGATAATTGAGTTGTAAACGATAAGACCATGCACAGTGAGAATTTCATGTTCACTGAAAAATGGCTTTGTGTGTTGTGGTAAGGCACCTTCCTTAAAGTAGTAGTTTACGAAGCCAGGCATAATAGCCCTTATTCCTTGCTTCTGTTTGCTGAATAAAGCATCTATATGGCTTTTTGCAGCAAAACCCCATATCAATGAACAATAGTTTATATGAGACTGTACAAAGCTTTGGTATATCTGGAGTCTAACTTTAATCGGCAGCCGACTTTTTATTTTGTACATAATACCAATATACCGCATCATTTTCGCTTTAAGAGCAGTAATGTGACTGGTCCAAGTCAATTTTTCGTCAACAATTACGCCAAGAAATCGGGCCTCAGTTTTTCGCTCAATAGTGGTGCCTGCAATTTGAATATTTACGTCAGGTGTTGATGTTCTGTTGGGTGAGAGGAGCATGTAGCACGTTTTCTTAAGGTTTAACGAAAGACCATTTTGATCTACCCAGTTTATCAATAAAGGAGAAAATTCTGTCATCTTTTGTAGTATTTCTTGATGATTTTTACCAGATATAATTATGTTTGCGTCGTCAGCATATAAAACAAATTTAGCGTACGATTTGATTTTTGGCATGTCATTGATATATATTATGAAAAGTAAAGGTCCTAGAATACTGCCTTGCGGCACTCCGTGTCTCATAGACTGTGAGGAAGAATTTGTGCCCCCTATTGAAACATACTGACTCCTGGAACTTAGATAAGACTTGAACCATTGGTGTGCTAGTCCTCTTATACCATAATGATACAGTTTGTCTAAGAGAATATCGTGGGAAATTACATCAAACGCTTTGCTAAAATCAAGTAGGAGGAGAAGAGAGACCTCTTTTTTGGAGAGGTTGTGTCTAATCGTGTTGGTTGCATCAAGGAGCGCATGTTCACACGACCGACCCGGCCGAAAACCGTATTGTCCTTCAAATAAAGTGCTATGTCGCTCTAGGAAGTCAAGGACTCTTCTGTGCATGAGTTTCTCATAGATTTTTGAAAAGGTGCAGAGCAATGATATTGGTCTGTAGTTTTTCACATCTAGTTTTGAGCCTCCCTTAAGGATAGGAACTACCTTTGCAATTTTCAGTGATGTCGGAAAGCAGCCTTCATTGAAGGAAGAATTTACTACATTTGAGAGTATTCCACAAAACTTAGGACAATCCTTGGCAATCTTGAGCGGCTCAACTTTTACATCCTGTGTGGCCTTATTTTTCAAGGTACAGATTGTTCGTTGGATTTCGACAGGATCAGTGGGCGAGATGAACATGCTCTCCTCAACCTGGCTGTCTAAATATCTTGCATGCCCGCCAGGGTCGAAAGTGGTACGCGCACTGATCTGCTCTTTGATTCTAGTTGCTATATTAGCAAAGTACGCGTTAAAATGTTCAGCAACATCGCGGTTCGAATTTATCAAGTTTCCATCATCTCTCCGCAATTTGAATTTGGAATTTTGCTTAGCTTTCCTGCCTAGAAGTTTATTTATCATCTCCCACTGTTTCTTGGAATTGTACTGATATTCTTCAAAGTATTTTTTGTGGTATTTGTCCCTTGCTAGATTGATATGTTTTTCACAAAATTTTTTTAATTTTTTGTACGTAGCAACATTTTTCTGTGTGGGGCAAACTGTGGATTCAAAATACATCAAGTTTTTTCGAGCACACGCGTCTTCAAGCCACGGCAGAATAAAAGGCTTGGGGTTTTTCCTTTCATTCATCCTTCTGACATGCTTAGATTTGATTGGGTACGCGGTGTTATAGTGCTTGTTGTAAATTTCGTTGAACTTATCATACTGCTCATTAGCATCCATGTTTGATGTTATTTGCTCCCAATTTTCAGCGTCGATCAGTTCGTAAAATTTTAAGTTATTAGCGGCATTGAATGCACGTGTATCACGCTTTTGTGATCGTTCGGTTTTGGATCGATCATTAGCAGGACTGTAAGAGAAATCACCAAGAGAGATCGTAGTCAAGGTGGCAAAATGGTCTGAAATGTCAACTGTCAGGACATTGCAACTGAGAGTATGCTGAACATCGTTGCTGTAGACATGATCAATTAAGGTCCTGCTGTGACTTGTAACTCGTGTTGGTCGTGCAACAAGCTGAAAAAAAACCGTATTTCGACATGGTGTCCACTAGATTTTGGCAATGTACATTGTTGCTGTGGTTTATGAGGTCTAAATTAAAATCTCCAGCAAACATTATGTGTTTTCTGTTGTGACGGTCTAGGCTTAATAGTACCGAATCAAGTAAAGCTATGAACTTATCGGGGTCACGTGATGGAGACCTATAAACGTCAACAATTAGTTTGGTTTTGTTGAGTCCTTTACAGTTGTTAATTTTCACTAACATGAATTCACCTGCCGATTTGGTGATCTCATCTACGTCCCGGAGATTAGGAATAAATTGTTCAATATTCTCAAACTCACACACTCGCTTACTGATATAAATTGCAAGACCACCACCCCGACCCGAAGTTCTGTTTGGGCCCTTAAGTAGAGGTTCACTCTCAAATCCTAAAGATAAGCAGTGGCCTTCGGCACTTGAAACCTCTTCAAACCTCCCCTGATTTATTTATTATTGATATTGTTTGATTGTGCCGTAAAAATAAATATTTGTTTTATTTGTTTTATTAATATTTGTTTTATTTTAAACAAATCCCCCTCCATACTTTAACTAGTCAATATCACAGATTTGTTGAAACGTACAAGAGTATGATGAAGATAATAAAGCTTAAAAGTGTGCTCATCTACATCGGATGTATCTTTGTTATTAAGGTATGTAAATTGTAAAACCGTTCTGTTGAATTGTTCCAGTATATGTGTAAAGTTTTCTGATGAGCCAGAAATATGAATTAGTTTTAAAAGATACATGGTTTTTTTTCCGCATTCCATGTTTTATGTCTTGATATTTACCTTTCTAGGATCTGTTTCTTTTTGGTTGATTAATGATTATGTCACTGTACTAACCTTTATTATAATACCTACATTAATTGTATGGTTTTCTGCTTCTACTTAGTTTAGTGTGGCTTACAATAAAAGATGTTTTAATTTTGTCTATGCCTTATAATGAGTTATACTTTTGTTCACATTCACACATTTGCTCACATCACTCACAGCCAGCGTAAGCCAGTCGCTCTGACATGGTTAACCACCTTCCTTGTTGGTTAATGGTTAATCATATGAGCGGGACATAAATACCTCATTTCATTCATATGTCATCATTAAATGTGATTTTAAAACTCCTAACAATATCCAGGCATCGTTCGCTCCGTTGGATTCCTTGACAGGATTGAAACTGTTAGAAGCGGGGCTAACTAAAGATAGTTTAGTTACTTTAAGTGCTCTACTCATACCCTTACAGGTTAATACATTATACATAATTAATTGAGTGCTTAATTATTTTACATGTATACTTACTAATAAGTTTGTATCCTACTTATTATAAGTGATAAGTATGTATGGTATACTTATTGTTCTATCAAGATTCAAGATTACATTCTGTTTAGAAGTATTTTCAATGTAAATTTCTTCATAATGTTCCTTACTTTATGTTACTTTATGTTACTTTATGTTACTTTATGTTAATTTATGTTACTTAACTTAATGTGGACACTATTTAAAATTAATAAAACATCTCATTTCAGATCTTGTTACCCTTGATAATAACAAAGTATACAAACTCCCAGTTCCCTCTTATTACTTATGTCAGTGGTGTTCTACCCAGAATATTAGGTTAGTTGTTATTTTACTTTATATTATTCTTTACTCATGTTAACCTAACTTGGAGTATTGATCAGAAATTATCTGGCCTGAAGCTATTTCTTCGATGCGATGGTAAACTTTTCTTTAAACGAAATATATAACAACGTATTCCGCTGAAATTACTAACAATTTCATTGATCACAGGCGCTCTGTTGATAACTCTGTTGGTCTTCTACGCTTTCTCTGCATCAGAATTTGGTGCTATGTTCTACATTGCTGGGTTGATAATACAGATTTTATATTCCGTAAGTAATCCGTAATTGTGCGACCGTAATCTACATGCTCGAATTTACACATAGGGAACACCGTCATGTCTTAAGTGAAGACGGTCTACACAAGTTTTTGTGCGCTGGCGCGGTACAATTTTTGGATGGAAGTTTAGCGTTAAAGCATAGTACGCGCGCGCTGCTTAATTAATTCGCGCGCGCGCGCGCAAAACGTGGAATTCCGAATACCCCATGCACCGCATACGAGTCCGTGAAAAAACGACGAATAAAGCTGAGGAAAAATTGTTCTTAAACAATGTTAAAGCCTCTGAAGACTGAAGATCTATTAAGGATAGATAGTCGAACAGGGAAAAACTGTTTGGTAAGCTTGTGATCCCCTATGGCAGAGTGATAGGTGTGATTTTAGGATCGAACTAGTGACTCTAGTCCTATTTAGATTCCACCTTTTAATTCCAGTTAGATTTTTGCTGAATACATTTAAAATAACCAATCAAAGATAACCATTTTAATAGCACTTGAATACACATTAAGGCATAATTTCATAGATTTGACTCAATATTCAGCATACATATATCCTTATTTGGCATAGCAGCGTAGCAAATAAAAAATTGTCACTAAACGGTAAATTATCAATCGGGTTGGTAAGAAAAATCAAACCGTAAACCTTTAACATCTATTGATCAATAATCCGCGGAAGTTATCAAACTTCTAATCGTTCTAGTGGTATTGGTTTTACAGGTCTTCTAAGTCAGTTCAGCCAGTAGAACGATGTAAGGATCGCTACAAGGAGATAGGTGTGTGTCGTCACGGGTCCCACACCTGAAATATTTCATGGTTAAATCTAAAATAACTCGAAGTTAATAGAAATATCACTAACTGTTACTTCCTTTTTTTCGTTTTCGATATTTATAATTCACTATCGCCAAAAAGTTTCGCAACTACTCATGAATATGGAGTTAGGGTGAAAGTATTGTCTAGCTTTCCCTATCCTGTCCTTTGTGTTGACTTTACCTGATAGTGAAGATATTATCATCTTCTGATACACATCGTTACTGTATCCCATGCCAAGTCCAGAGCCGTCATTAGTGACCATGAATTTAAAAGTCTTTCCCATCTTGCAGTCGGTTTCTTTCTGGTTTTCAGTGCCGCCACTAACCTCTAAAGTAATTCCTGGGCACATCATGCCATCGCACGTGCAATCTCCCGTCTTTGTGCAGGAATACTTGTTGCGGTAGTCCGGGAGAATTGCATAGTTGTGGACAATCTCATTCACACAAACTTCCTCGTTCAAGGTTACTTGAAACCAAGTTTGGTAAATCCAATCGCCATTCTTTTCGGTAGAGATTTGCCCGCCAGATACTTTTACAATCAGCTGATCTGTTCCATTGCCTGAAATAATATCAATTGTTTTGAATCAATAAGGTAATATAATCCTTGTATGGTGATTTATAATGAAGTTGTACCCTTACATGACTTAATATGACTTAATATGTCTGTCTTTCATTGATTCTTTTATTTAAGTGATAAGATCATGCAGCTAGAGATTTATAACCGAGTATACATGTTGCAAGCTTTTTATTCATTATATAATATATATATTTACCTGTTTTCTCGTGAATCAATATCTGGTGATCAATATCCTCTTGGAAAATATCATCGTCATTTTCCATTTTTAGCAAGGCAGTATCAGCCCACTTGCATCCTGTCCTAGAGGCCGCATCTTCAGGCAGCTTGGTTTGCCCCTCGGTGGAAACGCTGAAAGTGGAGACCTTACAATACGACCCTTTACAGGTGCAGGCTGTCTTTTCTTCACAAGAGTGAATGTTCTCCGACTTAGATTCGTTCCATTTGTGCACAGCTTGTTTTATACAGTAAGGTTGATCCACTGTTATCTGCAGCCATACTATTTGGGTGCTGTCCTCATCATCCGCCTCAAACTGTCCTGCTGTCAACTGCGTGATTACCGAACCTGAACGAGCGAGGACAATTTAGTTTGTATAATGTACTTATACTGTATGGTTCGTCTCAACATTCTTCTAGCTCAGCAACATAAAAACAACATTCTTGTAATGCAGCATCATAAAAACAACATTTTGTTATGCAGCGACATAAAAACAACTCACCCAAAACTGTTTTAGACATCACGATTGAGGCGATTAGAATCCAAAGCATCTTTTTTTATGATATTATCTGTACGGAACAAATTTAAAAATCGAGAAAGTACATAAGTTAAAGTTGAAATCTATCAAAATTGGTGTGTATAGAGCATAAACAAGCCGAAAATTTACAAATAAACAAGAATTGCGCCGGTTAGCGGACGCTAGATTTCCATCGACCGTAATTAATTACGATTAACGATCGTTTCATATTGGTTAAATTACCAAATTTCTTTTTGGGCGTTACAGAGAACAAAATGGAGGAATTGCCGTTGTCAAATATTTAAATCGAAAGTTAAACGACCGGACACCGTATCCTGCGCCTGTGCGGTGATATGTTGTAGGTTTACACTTTACAACCTACCAGGACGCGCGCCGAGTTTGACTCGTCGACGGTCCTGTAATTGGAACAAATATTTTACGAGTATCACCCGTTAAGGTGATATTCAGTTAAAAGTTTGAAAAACAAAAGCCATGTGAAGGAATGGTTGTTTACAAGTTTACATAATTTGTTAGATTAAATAAAATAGTAGTCGTGAAATCCGGAGTAGGTAATGTAACTCATAATAAAATTTATGGTCCATTTCGTATAATAAATCAATCACTCGACAATCATATTCAACATAATATCGGCATCATAATTTGTTCAACAGTATAACGGATTATTAATATCATTATCGGGAGCCAAGTCGGTGGTTGCACCAAGCACTCACAACAAAACGAGAAGTTAGTATGTTGTAGTTGTACCGCATCAAGATCAATGATCAAGTAAAGAAAAGCTTGAACTACTTAACACATTTATAAGATCCGGGAAATCGCTTGTTATTCAAATCGATTACCATAGAATTCAAATTGTATGCTTGGCGCCGCGCATTTGAGGTGTAATTCAATCAATCGTCAAATCGTGCAAACGTATGCGGAGGGTTACCATGGCGACTACGGGTGACCGACAACTGAACCCAATTAAACCTAGTTCCCACGCAGTTAACAGGCACCCAATTAGCTTAATTGGGTGACCAATCAGCTTAAATCCCAAAACGACAACTGAACCCAGGTCATATCACAACTGCACCGAAATCGAAAATACGACAACTGAACCCAACAAACGGATTTTCAGGTTCTCCTTCTTCGCAGGAGACTTTGGTCATTATCAGTATCACTATAGAATAGATAATGACCACTGTGATTTAGAGCATTGGAGCCCTGTGCTTACCCCGGTAAAATATTAATAAGTGGAGAAAAACGTTAAACTTCGTTTTCTCCGCATTTGGTGAATCGTTTTGTTGCTTGTATGAAGGCGATAATCCCTGGTAATGAGAACTTATCCACTATGTCTGTCACACTAAGGGGTCGTTCACATATTACGTAATTAGCAGAGGGGGGGGGGGGGTTTCCGAATGATTACGCTAGTGTAATTTTGACACAATAGCTATGTGTAAAACTGATTACGGAGGGGGAGGTGAAAATGTTCCAAAAATGATTACCTTACTCGGGATTATTATGACCGGGATAAAGCAGAGGCACATATTAGGTGCGGTAAAAAAATCGAAATTATGCGGTACCGCACCCGACTATAAAGGTAAAATGTGCGGTAAGGTACGGTAAATTTTTACCAATTATGCGGCAAATGTGCGGCGATTTTTCGAAATTTGTGCGGGAATTGTGCGGTTTTCTTTTGCATTTTCTCAAGGACTTTGGAAATTCTATCCAACATCTGAGACAAAATTTTTGAGTCTAAAATTGAAAGGTTGGACACCGGTAAAATGGCGACCGGGAAAATGTGGTGGGTTTTGAGCAATTTCGCCATATTTTTCCCGAACCATATTTTAACCGGTCGTTAATAAACCCGTCGTAATAATCCCGAGTAAGGTACGTAATATGTGAACGACCCCTAAGGTAGAAGAAGTCAAAGTATCCTCCTCGTTGGTAAGACCACTTCGGGCACTAGCCAATAGAGTGGTTCAGGTTACTTTGCTCAGATTACTTGGCTCAGATCTTGTGTATTCTAATGCTTTTGGAGGGCCTGCCATGGTTCAGATCTCGAGTCTTGGGTCGAGATATGATGTTTGGCCTGAAAATTTGCTGGATTTTGTTTTTAAATTTGTAATAAAATGGTTCCTGCCGCCAGCCGCAAGCTATAAAATAACAACAACTGTTGAGCCACCAAGACCACAAGGGCATAATATTATGACCATTTCTTCTCTAATCCTGCATACAGATCACTTTTCAACCTAGGATATTCGCTACTACAATACCATTAGTTGAGGTAAGCCCACTCACTTAAAAAGGGTTAGATCCCCAGTTGACTTGGCCATGTGATGAGGCCGGGTGAATGGGGCGAATATGTTGCAGGTCTTTGCCTGGGGTCAATATTACCAAGCTGTCAAAATATCATTAGTGAACTAGTAGCTCACTACTCACAAAGACAAATAAACCTTGTCATTGCAGCTGTCCCAATACCATTAGTGAACTAGTAGCTCACTGCTTACTTGCCCAGTAAAGGACGTATGACGGGTCGGGCCGGTGACCGAAAACTAAACCCAATTGACACAATAGCTATTATATGTGTAAAACTGATTACGGAGGGGGGGGGGGAGGTAAAAATGTTCCCGAAAATGATTACGTAATATGTGAACGACCCCTAAGGTAGAATAAGTCAAAGTATCCTCCTCGTTGGTAAGACCACTTCGGGCACTAGCCAATAAAGTGGTTCAGGTTACTTTGCTCAGATTACTTGGCTCAGATCTCGTGTATTCTAATGCTTTGGGAGGACCTGCCATGGTTCAGATCTCGAGTCTTGGGTCGGATCTCGATGCTTGAGGAGCAGTGGATCGTATCCTTTTTGGCACGCTTCGTGAACACGTAAGCTTGTTAGATCAGATCTCGCGACCTATCTCAACAGACTTACTTGGCTCAGATCTCGTGTATTCTAATGCTTTTGGCCTGCCATGGTTCAGATCTCGAGTCTTGGGTCCGAGATATGATGTTTGGCCTGAAAATTTGCTGGATTTTGTTTTTAAATTTGTAATAAAATGGTTCCTGCCGCCAGCCGCAAGCTATAAAATAACAACAACTGTTGAGCCACCAAGACCACAAGGGCATATTATGACCATTTCTTCTCTAATCCTGCATACAGATCACTTTTCAACCTAGGATATTCGCTACTACAATACCATTAGTTGAGGTAAGCCCACTCACTTAAAAAGGGTTAGATCCCCAGTTGACTTGGCCATGTTATGAGGCCGGGTGAATGAGGCGAATATGTTGCAGGTCGTTGCCTGGGGTCAATATTACCAAGCTGTCAAAATATCATTAGTGAACTAGTAGCTCACTTCTCACTAAGACAAGTAAACCGTGTCATTGCAGCTGTCCCAATACCATTAGTGAACTAGTAGCTCACTGCTTACTTGCCCAGTAAAGGACGTATGACGGGTCGGGCCGGTGACCGACAATTGAACCCAATTGACACAATAGCTATTATATGTGTAAAACTGATTACGGAGGGGGGGAGGTAAAAATGTTCCAGAAAATGATTACGTAATATGTGAACGACCCCTAAGGTAGAATAAGTCAAAGTATCCTCCTCGTTGGTAAGACCACTTCGGGCACTAGCCAATAAAGTGGTTCAGGTTACTTTGCTCAGATTACTTGGCTCAGATCTCGTGTATTCTAATGCCTTGGGAGGACCTGCCATGGTTCAGATCTCGAGTCTTGGGTCGGATCTCGATGCTTGAGGAGCAGTGGATCGTATCCTTTTTGGCACGCTTCGTGAACACGTAAGCTTGTTAGATCAGATCTCGCGACCTACCACCTGCCAGACTTCACTGAGATAGGAGAACTTCGTCCTCTTTGACGGCGTGACTGACGATGGATCCAGAATGATTCTCTACTCCTCGGAACCTCAAAATCCTCGGAGACAACCCTAACTGGATTGTCGATGGAGCGTTCTATGTCTGCCCTAGGATATTCTGACAGAGTTACTCCATCCACGCTGTCATCGATAAGAAGTGCATCCCTTTGGTGTACGCTCTACTTTCTGACAAGACGGAGAATACGTATATATTTTTGTTGAATATTATAACTAGAAACCAGGCAGCAGCTAAACTAGAGCGGTATTTGGAAACCTGTTTATCTGTTAGTTATTTCTAACTGACGATTGGGTTCAGTTGTCGCTTCAATGTTAATTAGGTAGACTGATTGGGTTTAAGATTATTTTCCCAAGCTACCCTGTCTAGAAAAAGTCCAAATTGGGTTCAGTTGTCCGGTAGCCGCGACTACACCATAACTGCTCTGCGCGCGGAGAATATGCATTCAAATAACGTATGCGGAGGGTAATGCATGTTTTCCTTTGTGACACGTGACACGAAAATCTACCTACCCACTATACCCATTCTCAAATCCTACCACACTTCTAACCATACTCATACTTTTTTAAAGAAAAAAGAAGTCGATGGAAAAAATCAAAAAAAGAGGCCATACTCAGTAGAAAACAAATGGTGCCCACCTAAGCTATGATTTGAAGCTAATCTACAGGGGACCTCAACGATTGTGATTTGCATCCTTGTTCTTTCCTTATTTATACATTAACGAGTTTTGAACAATGTTACCAACGTACCTTTTCGTAAATGGTTGTGGGACGACCGAGGATGTTGGGGATAAATTGTGCGAGATTTAATCATCTCTGACTTCCTGGATGGCGAATGCAACTGATTGTTCAGGGGTTTTGTTTACAGCGAAACCTCTCTTCACGGACCAGTTACAAATTTGACAGATTCAACAGGAAGCTAATAACACCCCTTAACATGGTGATGCTTAAGGGGGCCGGGGGGGTCTTCATCAAAATTCTCTTGAACTACATTTAACAGTTGTTTCTGATAGGGAGGGTGTTTTTGGTCCTATGGAAAAATATTGTTCGTATCCGAAATCATCGCCGATCAAAGGTCAGCGCTTTTAGTCGATTTTTAGAGGTCCAAGATTTTCAAAATAGAATTAAAATAGAATTAAAAGGCCTATCTCAAAATTCTGGCTAAAAAATT